GTGCTTCTTAATCCGGGCATCATCCAATGGCGTTGGCCGGCGGCCTTTTGGCCGTTTGGCCATGCGGGCGGCGGTGGCGGTAGGTCATTTTTCAGGTTTTCAGTCAACCATCCGCTCAGCTTCTCCTCCGTCAGATACGCTTCAGGCACTGGTTCTACCCGTAGGTCGTGGTCGCTGGCGGTGGCGGTTCCGACGACATGATTCTTCCGAAGGATGCGCTTCCTGGGCGTGAGATTCGCGACCGGGTACAGCCATTCTCCGTTCTCGTTGGCCTTCCCGAGTTAGTTCGCACACCATATGCCTGACTCGCCTAACGCCTTGTTGCCTTCAACAAGGTACGTCGTTCCGGGGATTCCCTGCTTCGTTCCGCCGACCCGTACGTGCGTCACCGCCATTGGTTTCAACACTACTTGGTCTTGCTTGATGACTACGTCATAGCGTGATGGCCCTAGCGGAGCGACCGTCGGGAGGTGGGTGTGAAGGGGATGGTCTTCTAGCGTTATCTTCATGAGCATGGTCATTTGCTCTTCGGTTGGTAGTCGGAAGGCGAATGATCTCTTCTCCATGTCCATGACTGCCCCCATTGCGTCGAGCCCTGGGATGCCGATAAGCACCGGTCGTCCCAAGTTGGGTATGATGTTGAACTTCAACTTGTAACTGTGCCGTCCATTGACGTCCTTGACTCTCAATTCAACGTGGCCTATTGAACGGCCTTCGCCAATTCCCGACAGCTTGCGCTCGTACTTGGTGGCCTTGATCTTTGAGCCGTGCTTGGTCTTCAGCATCATGTAGAACGTAGCGTCGATGCCGTTGAGACTCGCTGCAGTGTCAAAAACGAGCTCATCGAGAGACGTGTCCTCAATCTTCCCGTAGATCTGCGCAATGGTGTACATCCTGCGTAGGTCCGGACTACTTGTCGTGTCCTTTTCGACGTGGGCATGAAGGGAATCAAGGAGGGTGTCCTCTTTTCCTTCATCGGGAGGAATGACCATGCGGTCATCCGTGAGGTACAGCTCTCGGGCTTCCTTCCAAGCGTGGAATCTTTCTTCATTTCCAGCCACCGGAGCAATCCAGGTGTCCTGGGTGGGTAGGTCGTCCCCAGGATGCGCGGTGATCTCGTATTTTTCTCGGACGTCGAGGTACCGTCTTGCCTTGCTCAGCAATTCTCCTGTGACTATCGTCAAGTCTTTCAGGAAGAATTGCGCCTTGGGATGTACTTGTCCGCTCCGACTTGTTTCCAGACAAGGCTGTCGAGGAATTCTCTCTTCAATGCCTTGCGTTTCCGTTGCTTGACCGTCTTCTCCAGAAGCATTATCTCTTCCAGTGACCCCTTCTCGTGTGCTTCCAATATGGCCGTGTCAATTGCCACCGCCTTGGCATCTTCCTCCCCTTTTTTGTCTGCTGTCGCTGGTGGGCGCCGACGGATGGAGAGAATTGTCCGGAAGGGAATCCTGTGATGTGGACTACCTTCCACACGGGTTGTATAACTGATGTTCGTATACAATAACTACTTTGCTGTAAGGTACTGTACACGGACTGGGTGTTCGCCGGCGCTGCTATTCGGTATGTAGTAAAAGAACTACTTGTTGTGCATAGGAACTCGCGACGAGCACTGTTAAAGTACCCATGAGGTCGGAGCCAACTGGAGAACACTGTCGAGACGCGTCGTAGGCCAGGAAATACCTGTATATTCCCATCACATACAGGTATTTTTCCCCAAGGCCTGTCTAACAGACGCGACGTGTCGTTCTCCACATTACACTCCACATTACAAATCCGTAGAAAGGACAGAGTTCCTGCGTAGCAGTCTTGGAATGGCAGGCGCTTGACATGGCGGGGGCCGGTCTTGAAGGTCCACACTTGGCGCAACCGGTCTCGGAAGTGGTGAATGGCCGCAGAGTCACCGGAGATTCGCCATGCCGCGGTGTGTTCCCAGGGCGGTAGCCTGTAAACACCTTCGTCTTGTTCACGGAAGCCACCCTTGGCAAAGAGGTCTCGTTCGTGGTTCAGCAATTTAGGATAGTCAACGAGGAGCGTCAGGAGCTGAAGGTACCATGGAGCTTCTCGCCATACGGGGGTAATCAGTGTAATGGCCGCTCCGTCCGTGACGATCTTGTCAAGCACCTGTTGAATGGCTAGCCAAGGGGGGTTGGCCCAGCCATTCTCGGCGACCCAGCGAATCTTGAAGGCGTCATGGGCAATTGCATTGCTGTCCGTCTGGTCGACCGAGCAGTACTCTGAAACTTGAGCGTTCTGCTTCGTGGCAAAGAGGTCCATGGTATGGCCATGTGGGCCTCCCCAGGGTCCGTCATTGAGTTGCTGGAAGATGTCCAGGTGCAATTGCCAATCGTTCTTGTCAACCAAGTTGATCAAGTAGAGTTCTTTTTCGGGTGGCGGGGACTGGTAGCGTGTTTGGTCAGGGTCCTCCGAGTCGGGTTTTTCTTCTCCCGACTTGGACAGGTGTTGGGGTTGTAACGTTCGTCAGCTGTCGTTATTTCTCCGCGCGTTCCCTAGTCGCTTTCGGAGTCAGAATCACTGCCTCTTCTCGGTTCTGATGGTGACCGAGCAGGAAAGGTCAGACTTTCATCCTGGCCTTGAGGCAGCGATTCTCCGTGGTCTTCCTGCTCAAGAGCCGTTGGTTCCAGGACTAGGAGGCTCTCGGCTCCTAGCCCTGGCGGGGAAAATGCCGCTTCTCAGCATTGGCATTTCCCGCCTCTGGGCTTTGCTTCTTGGGGCATACTGATCTCTCCGTCTCACGGTCCACGTCGTCCTTGAAGTGGTCGCCCCCGCAGGCGTAACACTTTCCCTCTCCGATCCTTGGTGGTCCTCCCGAGGACAGGCCATTGTTGATCTGCACCTTGCCCATTTGCGCGGCAATTTCGGCAACCGCTTTCTTGACGACTTCCTGTACTTGCGTACTGAGGTCGTTCTGGCTCTGCTGGCCGTAGTCGTTGCGCAGGTACGGCTGGTGGGGGTATGGACCTTGTTGTCGGTCGATCATGTATGCCTCGTAACCGGAGTAATCATCCCGGTCGTCGTCGAATTCTGTCAAGTGTACTGCCCGTCCCATGTGGCCGCGTCGGCTACCGGTCAAGCGGAGTTCCTCTCTGAACTTGGTTATCTCGTTCTCCGCCGCATGTTTAGCTAGCTTCTCGATGTTGGCGGTAGGCATGGGACTTGGCGGGGCAATTTGGACCGCCGTCTTCAGAATGTGCGACGGGGATCCTTGTCGCTGGGGCCGGAATGTCCTGTTGTCCTTCTTGTTCCGGCGACAACGGCTGCGTCCTTCTTCCGAGGAAGAAGCAGAGGTGGAGCCACTGGAGCTGAACTCCGAGTCCGAGGAGGACGAGGAGGAGCTTCGGGCGTGGCGCCGGCTTCGGAGCCGTTCCTTGTCAATTCTTCGGTACGCTTCTTCGGCAAATTGGTCGAAGGTCACCGCCCCGTCGTACCAGTCTTTGCCACCTATCTTCACTTCCTCGATCTTGTCTTGCTCACGAGGCTTGTGACCTTGATAGAAGGCGTATTTGAGGTTGCCTAGGTCTAGGGGGTTGGTGCCGAGACGGGAATTGGCTTCCTTGATCCGAATAGCGAAGTCGCGCGACGTTTCCTTGTTGAGCTTCTTCATACTGGCTACTTTCGCCGAACGGTAGATAGGGGGTATCTTCTCGTCGTATTGAGCCATGAATTGTTCCTTGAATTGCTTAAATGGAATGTTGGTCAACGACAGACTGCTCCACCATTTTTCGCTCCATCCTTGAAGAGTGGACCAAGCTTGGGCACCATGTAGTCGAGGTTTTCGAAGTACTTTTGGTCTACGGCCCTTTGAGCTTCTTGCCTCAGCCTCTCCAGGAATGCATATGCGTCCTCACCCGGCTTGCCTTTGAATCTCGGCGAGATGTCATTCTTCAACATCCAGTGGGCTCGCTCGAATCCTCTTGCCGCCGCTTCGAGTACCGTGGCCGCTGAGGCCGCTCGGGGAACTCCTGCGGGGGTTCCGTCTGCCATTTCGGGATTCCTTCTAGCAACCGGCGTAAACCAGGTGTCCTCTTTCTTGCTCCCGTTCCTGGTCGGGAGTCTGCGCTCGGGCTTGATCTTGTGAGATCGCCGGGGCAACAGCAGCAGTAGCTGGATGGATGGATGGATGGATAGACGGGGGTTGCGCTGGAGGATCCGCGGGGGAATCCTGAGCAGGTGGCCTTGATACTGGGGCTGGTGGAGTGCTTGGGAAGCTGCCCGGGAAGCTGCTTGATCTTGTGGTTGTCCGGGACGGGTTCACACCAGATGATGGGCCTTGTTTCGACGACGAATTCTCGGACGAGGATTCTTCGGAGGATTCCTTGGACTGGGATTCCTTGGACGGGGAATCCGTGGACTTGGCTTTGCCTGTGGGCTTGCGTTCTCTCTTGAGGAGCAGAGAACTTCGGTATCGCTCGTAGGCAGCTCGTTTGGCTGTCGCGCTGCTTGCCACAATTGCTTCCTTGGTTGACGAGCGGCTTGAAGAGCGGCTTGCGGAGCGGAGACTGGTGACAAATTCTGCGTCGTCGGCCAGTTTCGCTATCTTGATCTAGGTGAAGATCTATGGACTGATCTTCAATCTCTGGTGGAGATTGGTGCTTCGCTTCTCCGTAGGGAAACAGAGAATGCGACGCGTGGGTAGGTTTCTTGTAAGGTGGCAGATGTGGTTTGCCAATCCGATCTTTGAAATGACCTCGTAGATTCCTTGTAATTCCTTCCTTGTTTTTCCTTGAAGGTGGTCTCTCCTTGTTCCCGGCCGAGCCTCCAAAATGTGAAAGTGGTCGATTATTCCCTGAGATAGGTCCTAAATCAGGTCGTTCGCGGGTGGAGGTAATCTACTTGTGGAGAGTGCAAGGTAAAAGGTAGAGACCAACCAAATCCCTATTCTCACCACACAAGTAGACACGCTTGGGCGTACTCTGTATATTGGCAACCCCGGACTGCTAGGCGTAGGTACGCTAGTCAGTTGGGTCAATTGAGCTCCTATGGTACAAACTTATGGTCTAGTCCATTGCCGGTAAGATGCTCCCGGGCAATCTACGTCAGTGTCGTCCTTTTTATAGTGGGGGGGGAAGGGGGTGTGTCTCTATCCTACTACTGATCACGCCCGGTCACGCGCGCACAAATACTAATCTTCCCTTGAATCTCCCCATCTCCTCATACGCCGTCAACCTGATCACTTCCACACCTCGCAAGCCATGCGAATGGGATGGCAACCTGGTTCTACCATCGCAGCGTGCCCAGCAGAGGCTTCGAGCGGATGCGGGTGTGCAGCTTGTTGGATTGGATTCGGACCGCATAGACGCGATTTGTGCACAACACGTTTGGCTGCAGGAAAGTCTTGGATTGCGCTACCTTGCTGGCGGCATTGGGTTTGATGAAACCGATTACGGAATCTTGACCGTTCAACCTGGAAGCAAAGGACAGCTGATGGGAACTGTTGACCTTGGCCCTGGACTGACTGAAAGCATTCTGGGACTGTCGGATGTTTCAAAGGTATTGTCTCTGTGCACGTTTCAGCTCATGTCGGCGCGCCCTCATTTCTGTACCACAGGTTGACCAAGCCCTCAACGCATTCGCGTTGAGCACACAGCTGTGCATGGCGCAAATGAACGACGCACGAGACTTTGAATACACGTGGGGCGACCCACATTTGATGGTTCAATTTACCCACTGGCTGACGGAATGTGAAAGCAATCTCGTCGCCCTCCCAGCGCAGCTAACTGTGTATGCAGTCGAAGCGGAGAAACGAGTAACCATGAAACCGCACATCTATTTCACCATCACGAGAATGGCTCACACGTATCCGGGTGGAAAGGCGATTGGCCAAAAGGAGGAGGGCTGGCGACGATTTCTTTTCTTCCCCTTATGTGCCTGAAATGAACCCTTGTAACCGGGACCTTCCTTTGATCATTTCCATCGACCCGGATCACGTCATGAAGCGATTTATCAAACATGTTACGACATCCGGGTTCGGAGCCCACTTGAGGAAAAAAGCCTGGCTGAGCATTGCAGGAATGCATGAACACGACAGGGTGTTCGAACTTGGTGGTATAAGCGTGACGATCAGTGTGTTGCCGATGCGAAGACCGGGTTTGGCAAGCAGGTCGCAGATGTTCTTGAAGCGACAGGATATGCAAAGGAAGCTGAGTTTTGCAATGTTCTTCGAGAATTCTTTGAAGCACTTGATCTGTCTGGTATTCCGCAGGATGATCGAGAAGCAAGGGTTGATCGTATGATTGATTGGCTGGCCGACAAGGTGTTACCTTTCATGTATGGTGAACCCTGCTCATCGCATCTTCCTCAGACACCTTATGCATACCGCCACTTGAGGCTCACCTGCCCCCCGGCGCTTCTGCACGATGAAGAGACTGCTCTCCCGATTGAACTGTTGGAGGCGACACTAATCCTGTGTTTTGGGCGAAAAGGCAATGATTCGCTTCTTGGAAAGTGTTCCTTGCAACAAAACATATGCCAAAACCTCTTCCGATCCTGAGAAATGCACCCCACTCTTCAATGATCGCTGGCGACAATCCAATGATGTGGAGAATCACTTTTCAGCATTCAAACAAATCCTCCGAAAAGGCATGCAACTTTATTCATCTGCATATCGGCATAATATTGTGCCACTTACACTCTGCAACAAAGCCTCCCCAACCGATGCTTTCCTTGCGCTGAAGAAGCTTCTCATCGTCCACAAGGTACACGTCACGATTTTTGGTGGCAGATGCAAAATGACTGATCCTTGGCACCGCTTCCAGCACGAGATGAGCGTACCTGGCCAGCTTGGATACTCCCGACCCATCGCACGCGGCCACTCTTACGAACAAAAGAGCTACTGCAACGACATCACCAACTTGAGCGAGTGGTCAACCGGCCAGACACGTACTCAAGCCCATAAAGTCACAACACTTGCGGGAAAAAGGGCCCGTGCCGACACGACCGCAACACCGTACCATGCCATTCGCTCCTTTCACCGGGTTGATCACGATGTTGTTTGGCGTACAGCAAGTATCGCAACCACTGTACACTTGGCAACACCAAGCTCTACACCGACAACGACCCCACGTAAACGTGCACATGTAGAAGTAGGCGTAGATAGCAGTTCACCAAAATAATTTGAAAAGACTCGTATATATATGATACATAGTACAGTACATACAAAAACAGACTCTACGACTCGACATCTCCAGTTTTCCTCTGTACAGCATTGCGTACTTTGTTTTGCATATACATCGAATGCACATACCGATTGCCCCTCGAGTAGTCAGTCACTGAATGATGAAGAAGGTTTGCTCAGGGTTAAGGTACCGACTTCCTGCTTTAGAACAACACCTGCATCAATGAGTTCAAGATCTCCCCCATCGCCGAAGTCGTCAAAGGTGTACTGAGCTGTGAAACCCTTGTCCTCGACATTGAAGTGGCAATCGACTGGCGAAATCCAAATGTGCGTATAGATGGACCAGCAATCGTCTTTTGGGAGAGATCCCTTGTTAGAGTTGATGAGACCCTTGATTGTGTCACAGTTGGAAAAATATTCATTGGGGGAGGCGATCCAAGCCATCGCATGAATAAGTTTGGCGATACCTATTGAAACCTTAGCTGACATAGGTGTATCTGAGAGGTCACTAAGACTGGTTCGCCGATGACTGAGGGACGTAGCTGCCCAAAGGGCAGTGTTGTGATGCGGAAGACAGTAGTGTGGCGAGAGTATTGCGAGAGAAAGTAGTGTATTGAAGAGGATAAAGTGAAGAGAGGGGATGGGCAACAGGTCGGCCTTTTATACGAATCTAGGGCTTCTTTGTTGGGGATTTAGCTATGTGCTGGGGCGTCCAAAGCACCCTCTGAGACCCCCTCAGAACGCCCAAGGCGTCCCTGAGTGCCGCAGTTAAGGTTGGTACGGTTGTAAGGTTTTGCCAAGTCTGTGTAGCCTCACAGGTACCTGCTGCCCCATGGGCGTCTGCCAAGTCCGCTGAAGGTGCTACAGGCTACCACAAGCTCTATCAAGCCCAATCTAGCTACTACAACCCGATCACGGCTCCACACGGACACTACTGACCGCTATGAGCTCTAGGAACATCCTGAAAGCGCAGTGCTGACGCCTGGATGTCTGAGAAACGGTCCAGACATTTTCCGAGCCTCTCATGATGCGTCCTAAGTCTTGCAGAGCCTTCTAAGTGCCGCATCTTGATGCCATTTCAATACTCCCTCTCACTTGAAGGCTCTGCAGCCTCTAAGTGCATCGCAGCGCTCAGACGTGTGAAGTCCGGCATGGGAAGGGGTTTGGTGAGTGCATCAGCTATCATCTCCTTTGTTGGGCAGTACTGGGGGGTAACTGTCTCGTGTGCGACTTGTTCACGAATGAAGTGGTATCGGATGTCGATGTGCTTGGTTTGTGCATGGTGAACTGGGTTTGTGGCCAGGTCATAGCTCCTTGGTTGTCTTCCCAGATGACTGTGGGGCCTTGGACGACTCCTGTCTTGTCTTGGTGCGTGCTCAGTTCTCTGAGTAGAGATCTGAGCCACATGGCTTCTTTACAGGCGTCTGTGAGTGCCATGTATTCGCCTTCGGTGGAGGAGAGTGCTGTAGTGCGTTGTTTGCGTGATTTTCAGCTTACTGGACCACCGAAGGTGAAGAGGTATCCTGTGGTCGATCTTCGAGTGTCTGGGCACCCTCCCCAGCCTGAGTCTGACCATCCCACGAGTTTGGGGGTTCCTTGGACGGCTCCCAGTCGAAGTTGGTAGTGTTTGGTCGTCTTGAGATACGCCAAAATGCGTTTGGCAGCTTTCCAATGTCCCTTGCCTGGATTGGCTAAGAACTGGCTCACATCTCCAACTGCTTGGGCTATGTCTGGTCTTGTGCCGATCATTGCATAGATCAGACTGCCGACAATGGCTCGATAGGGCTTGTTCTGCATCTCTGCACTCTCTTCAGGCGTTTGAGGTGCCATTTCCTTCGTGAGAGGGGTTCCAACGACGCTGGGAGTTGATACAGGCTTGCAATCGGTCATCCCGTATGTTTCAAGGCATTTTCGATGTACCCAGTCTGGTTGAGCGTCAGGAGTCGTTTGGCTCGGTCTCGAGTGACTAGGAGACCCAGGAAGTAGTGCAGGGCACCTAGATCACGCATTTCATACGCCTTATGAAGTTCCTTGGCCTTGAAGCTGTCAAGATCGAGTCTCTTGTTGCTCATAAGTATGAGATCGTCCACATAGAGGATCAGGATGAAAATCCAGCCCTCAAAGAACCTGATATAGACGCAATGGTCTGAATCAAGACGAGGGAAGCCTTTCTCAATGAGAGTGCCGTGGATTTCGAGTCTCTGAGTGCCGCAGTTAAGGTTGGTAAGGTTTTGCCAAGTCTGTGTAGCCTGCTGATGCCCTCATGGACGTCTGCCAAGTTCGCGGAGCCCGCGGAAGGTGCAACAGGCTTCCACAAGCTCAATAAAGCCCAATCTAGCTATCACAACCCAATCACAGCTCCATACGGGCACTACTGACCGCCATGAGCTCTAAGAACATCATGAAAGCGCAGTGCTGACGCCTGGATGTCTGGGAACTGGTTCAGACATCTTCAAAGCCTTCCAAGACGCGTCCTAAGTCTTGCAGAGCCTTCTAAGTGCCGCATCTTGATGCTATCTCAATAGAGCTATGGCACTCGCCACAAACACAGTTCACCATGCACGAAACAAGCACATCGACATCTGATACCACTTCATTCGTGAACAAGTCGCACACAAGACAGTTACCCTCCAGTACTGCCCAACAAAGGAGATGATAGCTGATGCGCTCACCAAGCCCCTCCCCATGCCAGACTTCACACGTCTGAGAGCTGCGATGCACTTAGAGGCTGCAGAGCCTTCAAGTGAGAGGGGGTATTGAGATAGCATGAAGATGCGGCACTTAGAAGGCTCTGCAAGACTTAGGACACGTCTTGGGAGGCTCTGAAGATGTCTGGACCGTTTCCCAGACATCCAGGCGTCAGCACTGCGCTTTTATGATGTTCTTAGAGCTCATAGCAGTCAGTTGTGACTGTATGGACCTGTGATCGGGTTGTAGTAGCTAGATTGGGTTTGATTGAGTTTGTGGTATCCTGTAGCACCTTCCGCCTCTACCCGCATTCAATTGCATCCCCGGACGCTAAATCGCGCTCCGAATTCCTTACCGGTCGCCGCCCAAGCATCGCGCATCTGCGCAAGCTTGGATGTCTCACGTATACAGTCGTTCCACCCAAGGGCCGGGACAAGATGGCAAATCGTGCTACCAAGACGTACCTAGTGGGATATGCTCACCAACAAGGCATCAAAGGTTATCATGTATGGGATCCTGTACGCAATGCTGTCATGGTCTCCCGTGACGTTTGTTTCGACGAATCTACTAGACTCCCTGAGCACCTTCATCAAGATCCTGCTCTCCTAGATCTTCTAGAAGACGCTCCCACCTCGCAAGAGGAGTTCCCTATCGAACACATCCTTTCCGAACGTCAGCGCCGCGGCAAGAATGTCCAAAACGAATACCTCGTCAAGTGGGTTGGTTTTACTACCCCGACCTGGCAACCACGCTCCGATCTCATTGAGACTGAAGCGTTGCATATCTGGGAGTCTCGTCCAGCCGCTTTCAACGCCCGAACCATTGAGGCCCTCTCAAACACATTCAATGCGCGTACCGAAGACACACCTCAATCCGTCACTATGACCTGGCGCCAAGCGATGGCCTCCCCTCAATCAGCTGACTTCAAGCTCGCAGCTGATAAAGAGTTCCAAGCTCTCGTCGATAACGGTACTTGGGAGCTCGTACCCCGTCCGCGCAATCAGCGCGTACTCGGTAGCACTTGGGTACTTCGTCAAATCTTCAATTCCAGACGGTACTTTCAAGAAATTCAAGGGCTGCGGTGTAGTTCAAGGTTTTCATCAATCCAAGGGTATTGATTATAATGACACCTACGCTCCAACCCTACCCATGTCAGTTCTTCGCCTTTTCCTCTCCATTGCCATCTCTCTTGGTATGGAAATCCATCAGCTTGATGTCCCCAACGCGTTCTTATGCAGCGACATTGACGGACCTGTCTATGTTGAACAATTTCAAGGCTGCAAAGATCCGCACAAGCCGCGCGCAGACTGGGTATACCTCTTACGCAAGGCTCTATATGGTCTGAAGCAATCTCCGCTTCTCTGGTACCGTACCCTTTGCGAAACCCTAGGTTCTCTTGGCTTTACTCCGCTAAAGGACTGCCTATGGCGTCTTCTATCGCTACGCGAGCACGACGCGCACTATGGACACACTCCAGATGCTCCTTATCTATGTGGACGACTTCATCGCCTGCTGCTTTCCCGTACACGTCAAACAAGTGAAAGGTGAACTATGTTCCCATTTCAACTGTACGGATCTCGGTCCCATCCAGAATTACCTGGGTCTAGTCTTTGATTACCAGCTCTCGCCGTCAGGGAACCACCTCACAATCAGCAAAGTTACCTATATCAACGGTTTACTCGAACAATTTGGACAACAAAACGCTACACCGGTCTCTACGCCGTGCGCCGTCTCAACGCGTACAAGACCAGCCTCCGCAAGCCCCCCTTTTCCTAACAAGCTTCTCTACCAGGAAGCATTGGGAGCCCTCACGTGGTCATCCATTACCTGGCGCTGGGATATTTCAACTGCCGTCGGCTTCGTCGCACGTCAAGTCTCAGCTCCTACCCAAGCCGACTGGAATGATGTACTTCGCATCATGCGCTACTTCAAAGGTACCCGCACCTTCGAGCTTACCTACAAGTCCGGTCATTCAGATCAAGCTGGACTTCGCGTCTATACAGACGCATCCTACGCAGACGATGTCAACGACCGCAAATCTATCGTGGGCATCGCCGCCTTCTTCAACGGCCAGCTTATCTACTGGAAAAGCACCAAGCAGAAGAGCGTAGCTCTCAGCTCCACGGAAGCTGAGTATATCGCCGCATCCCTCGGTTACAACGAGGTCATCTGGCTCCGCTCGATCATCGCGGAGGTCTTCGGCGACCAATACGGCAACATCAAGGACCCCACGCCTCTCCACATCGACAATCAGAGCGCCCACG